CGTACTGTTAAGACAGCAGGTAAAAGTTGGTCTGTGTTCTGTCGGAGCTGCCTGCGACGCGCTGATGAGATTCAAAAAAATCGAAATCGCGATCCGCGTCTGGCAGTTTCTACAGGATACGGACCACTTCGAATTATTTTATAAAATAGAAAGTCGTTTATTTTCTAAGACTTTTCTTTGTATGACGTGATTGTCTTTTCCCTTCGATGTCTTTATAAGCGGATTCTACTGTAGTTAATTCGTAGCTCTGCAGTTTACCTTTTTGTATCACATGAAAAATAGTATACTACATATACAAGGGTTATAATATTAAGTTTTATTAACCACCATGCAATTTTTCTAAGGCGTATAGTACCTTTCTTTCTACCAGGTTCTGAACACCGTTGTTTACAAGCGTCTTCCGTTGGGAAATTGTTATTATTCGCTTTGCAACCACCGTATCTGAACTGTTCACACGTCTGACTTTCTTTGCTGAAATACCAACGTCTGTAGTGGCCTCTGCACGGTCCCTCTTCTTTCGGTTGTTCGCAAGCATCTGTAATTTGAGAGTGTGTAAAAATTGTTTCACTTAGATTTTTTTTCGTGTCGTGTACCAACTGAGTCGTCTCTGACGCAAAGTTCTGAACATTCTTCTCGTGTTTCGAAGCGATTGTTGTTTCCTAAGCAACCGCCATAAATAAATTGGGCGCATTGTTTCCTTTCGGTATCGTAATACCACATGGGATAATATCCTTCACAAGGACCTGCTACTTTAGGCAGCAAACAACGATCTGTGAAATTATGAAACAGAAAAGGAAGTGATCATTGTGAAGACTAGCTCAATCAATCAAAGATTTTCGGGACAACACATACCCGTTCCTTGAGGTTCAACACAAATTTCTTGGCATTCATCTCTTGTACGGAAACGGTTTTCGTTTCCTTCGCAGCCGCCATACCAAAATCGTGAACATCCACCATATTCCATATCGAAGAACCATTTGACCGTGTAATTTCTACAGGAGCCTCTTTCCTTCCTCAGGGTGCAGCTGTCTACAAAATCAACGCAATCACATTTGCATTATCCCATAAGATAAAAAGCTCTCGCAAGTTTACCCTGTAGTTTTGTGAGAACTTCGTCGCATCCCTCGAAGTTTTCGCCAGTTGCTTCGGTAACACCATCCAAACAACAACCATACTTGGTAGAATCGCAGCCACATCCTTCGTAGTTGGGTCCCTTTGCTGGCGTTTGGTCGTCTGAGCAACATCCGAATTCGGTGTTTTGACATCCACATCCTGAGGACGATTTTTTAAAGATATTCGATTTTAAATTGAATAAATGACATTTTTACCCTGCTTGTGGGGCCCTTTAGCTGCAGTTACTCCATCCGGACAGCAACCGAATTGGAAGGTATGACACTGACATCCCTGGTACTCTGCACCTGCTGCAGGAGTGTAACTATCAGGACAGCATCCGAATTCTGTGTACTGGCAACCGCAACCTTCGTTGTTGTATCCCCTTGCTGCGGTCGAATTATCAGGACAACAGCCGTACGGTGAATACTGACAGCCACATCCTTCGCAACGATAGAACGTTGTTTACAAATTGTAATGCATTTATTTTAAATAATATCGAACGAACCTTCTAAATTTGGTCCTTGAGCTGGTATAATATTGTCCGGACAGCACCCGTAAGATGTTATTAAACAACACCCTTCCTTATTATAACCATGAGCAGGAGTGATACTGTCCTCACAGCATCCGTAAGCACTTGATTCACATTCCATTTTGCAACCCTTGTAGTTTGGTCCTTTGGCTAAAAAATATGTCACACGTGAAATATGCTGAAGGATACACGATAGATTGAACTTATTTACCGGAAGTGCCATCGGGGCAACAGCCGAAGTAGGATTCGGTGCAGTTTTCGCTGAAAATATCACAACCCTCGTAGTCTTCTCCTTGGGCTGTTTCAACTCCATCAGGACAGCATCCGTAAGTGCTCTCGTTACAAGGTCCGGGTTCTTCAGTAGGAACCATTGTAGTTGTAACTCCTTCCTCTTCTTTTTCTTCCCGTTTACATCCTTTTCCGTGAGCGTCTTTTGCTTCGGTAACATTATCCGGGCAACAACCAAATCTAAAGTAGAATTCGAAAAACATTTAAAAAATCAGTTATTTTTTTTCAAAGAAAACTATTGCATACTTAGATTTGAGACATTTCGGCGGTGGAGGGGGACAACCTTCTTTATTCGTACCTTCGGCTGGGGTCTTTTTATCAGGGCAGCAGCCGAATAACGATTGCTCGCAGTGAGTTGGCGGGCATCCTTTAAAGTTTTTACCTTTTGCAACGGATACACCGTCTTCGCAACAACCGTAGGTTGTTTCGTTACATGTTTTAACATCTGGACATCCTGGAAATAAACCATTGGACAAATATTAGTATCCAGGACTATGTGCGCGAATGTCAGACAACAGTACCTTTATTAAATGGTCCTTTGGCTGGTGTAATTTGGTCAATACAGCAACCGTGTTTGCTAGTTTTACAGTCGGGCTTCTTTTTCCTTCTACATTTTCGCATTTTACGAAGAAATATGTCTGTGACAGGTGTTGTTTCCCACAGGTCACCTATGGCATTTTGTATTCAAAGTGTGTTCTCTGAGTATCTTTCAAATATGTTTTACGTACCTTCGGTGGATGATGACCACACGTCGAATTCTGAAGTAGTCTCGCTTTCTGAGCTACCTTCCGAGATTTCGGTTGAGACAGACGATCCTTCACTTGTATCTGTACTACTGTATGCTTCTGTCGTACCGCCACTTTCAGACGAGGCTTCGGAACTTCCTGAGACCTCTTCCGTTGTACTTCCCGATACCTCTTCCGATGTAGCTGAAGAGTCTGTTGTTAAACCAGAGACTTCGGAGGTGGCTTCTGAAGACGACTCCATTGTGCTGCTTTCCATTTCTGTGGTGCTCCCTGAGAAGGAACTAGTAGTGCTTCCTTCGCTTTCTCCCGTGCTGCTACTGCCTTCACTTATTTCCGTGGTGCTTCCCGATGGAGATGACGATTCTTCGATGGTACTGCCACTTGTTGTTGAGGATTCTGATGTTTCTTCTGTATCTGTGCTCTCGCTTCCTGTTTCTGTTGTAGAAGAATCCGTTGTGCTGTCGGAAGTAAATTCTGTGGACAAGTCTGTAGTGAAGTCGCTGGTGCTTTCAACATCCGTGGGTGTATAGGTGATGATTGTAGTCAGGAAAGACTCCGTAGAATCGCGCTGATGAGATTCAAAAAAATCGAAATCGCGATCCGCGTCTGGCAGTTTCTACAGGATACGGACCACTTCGAATTATTTTATAAAATAGAAAGTCGTTTATTTTCTAAGACTTTTCTTTGTATGACGTGATTGTCTTTTCCCTTCGATGTCTTTATAAGCGGATTCTACTGTAGTTAATTCGTAGCTCTGCAGTTTGCCTTTTTGTATCACATGAAAAATAGTATACTACATATACAAGGGTTATAATATTAAGTTTTATTAACCACCATGCAAGTTTACTAAGGCGTATAGTACCTTTCTTTCTACCAGGTTCTGAACACCGTTGTTTACAAGCGTCTTCCGTTGGGAAATTGTTATTATTCGCTTTGCAACCACCGTATCTGAACTGTTCACACGTCTGACTTTCTTTGCTGAAATACCAACGTCTGTAGTGGCCTCTGCACGGTCCCTCTTCTTTCGGTTGTTCGCAAGCATCTGTAATTTGAGAGTGTGTAAAAATTGTTTCACTTNGCAATAACTTGTAAAATATTATTTGGGTTAGCATCCTAGTATACCTAAAACTTTTAAGTGTTTGTGGATAACTAAACAAATTATTTTGTAAAAAATGTTAATTTTGTGCATGAACTGTACGAGGAGCAGTCGAATAGAAAAAAAAATGCAATAAGTATAGTAACATATTTTTTGTCTATAGTTACACTTTGTTCTACCAAACTATTCCAAAGTCGTTTATCATCATCGTATGTTAAAACCTTTTAAAAAAATAGTTCAGCATTTTGAAAACTAAATGTTAATTCTGACTCTGTCGGATTTTTTTCGTATTCGAACCGCCCTCATATTATAAGCCCATCAAACTTACTAGGAGGTTCAGTTGGTGCCATGAACTCTCTACAAAATTCTACGCATGCTTGGAAAGTTTTAAAGTTGTTGAAGTTTCCACCACAACCACCGTAAATGAAAGGTACACATTCACCCCTTGCGTCATCAAAGTAATATTGTTTATAACCGCCATCGCAAGGACCAACGTCCACTGGTAGTCGGCATATTGCTGTATTTGAGAAATATTTGTTATTTTTTTCAAAGGCGTATTTATTTTAAACTTATCGTATTTTAAGCATTGCGTGATTATTAAGAAGATTAAAGCAGTTTAGTTTAATCGAAAATTGGTACTATTATGTTATAAAATATTTTATGGAAAACCGGGAAAACTCAGGGAATTTAAGTAGTCCAGGAAATGCCAGGGAGTTTTCCTGGAAACAGAGGAGCTTTTTGCGTACATTATGTTTAAATTATATTCGATTCATAATTTGGAAGAACTATAAATTATCGGTATGTTTAAATTACAGTTGCATAAATGCAGTGAAATGTTTTTATATTAAAATTTTATTTATATTGTTCAAAATAGTGATATCTTGTGTCTAATTCCTGTAAAGACGCTAGTGTAATCCTTTCTTGTCTGAAGGACACATATTTTTTTATCCCTCTTAAGTATCTTGTAATGTTTTAAAATTAATTTTATCAACAAAGACAACAGTCTGTTTTCAAGTTATTCCTCTTTTTCTGAGAATGAATGCAGAGTTCTGTAATCTAATCGTAGTGCGTAGTAAACGGACGTGCTTAGGTTCAAAATGTGTAGGGGAGGTCGGTTGTACTCGCGGTCGGTCTGTCGTCGTTAGCGTGTCTTGGTAGTTTCGTGGGTGATTTATTGTGATTTTTTGATAGTTAAATTCAATTTTATCGCCGATAAATAGTGATAACACGTGTGTTCCATCGCGATATTGCTTTTGAGCAGTTGTAAGTATTAATTTATGCCACATTTAGTTGTTTATTGCAAGGTAACCTAGCATTGTTGAAATGATCGAATTTAGTAATAGAAAAATTAATTTATAAAATATTTATGCGGTTTCCATTGAATAGCGGCGAGTTTTTTGATAATGAAAATTATTAATTATTGGTTGTGTAAATATAATAAATATATATCAAATTATTTATTTTAATGCCAATGGATGCAACTTTTGAGCTACATTTTTATACAC